TGGATCGGGTTGTACAAACCAGCACGACCCACAATTCCTAGGTATCGAGACTCGCAATTGGAGTCTATCCTACTCACCAAAGTCCCCCAAAAGCCCCTGGCTCCAAGGTTCTCAAGCGGGAGTCTTGGCCACAAGGTTTTGATTACCCTAAGATTAGTTATCCAGAAAAATACATATGCTGGGATTATAGTGAGATTCTTATCCAATCCGCGGTCAATATTTAGTACCAATATAGGGTTAGATTCAACTAATCCAATCCTACTACTTATCCTACGCTAACAAAGAGAAGTGCCTAAGTCATTACGAGTAGGATAAGAATATTGTAATGAAGGTTATACATCGTGTTTTTTATTTTTTGAATAAACGATATTATCCATACTGAGGGAAGAAAGAGTGAGCTTAGTCTCACAATGAGTTAGCAATAATATGATTCAAATTAGTTTTTGACGAAAATCAAATATAAAACATCTCACTTGCTGATGGAGGCAATTGATCGCTTTATTAGGTAAAAAAAGACATAAAAAGGATTTTTCCCTAAATTTGGGCGCGACAATTTCTCTAACATTGGGACTAAAAAGTTGAAAGGAAAATAGGAAGTGTTGATGAAGAAAGTGGGATCCTCCCTGGAGTCCCATGACATTTCCACATTGCACTGGATTTGGATTATCGAAAGCATTTCGATTTTTGTTTCCAACTTTTCAAGGCGGTGGGACCAAAATGACAATCGACCAAGAAAAATGGTGTCTGCTTTGCTCCATAAAGTACAAATTTATAATTCAAAAACAGTTATCTAGGGTGTAGTTAGGCCTGGCAAACGGGACGTGTCTATCGTGTTCGTGTCGTTTTCGTGTAACACCTGTTATCTTAACGGGTCGTGTCGTGTCACACCCGTTATCTTAACGGGTCCTTAACAGGTCGTGTCACTTTACCCAACGGGTAAAGTGACCCAACCCGTTATGACCCATTATGACCTGTTAAGAAAAAAATATTTTTTTTTTAAATTTGCACATACCACACATTGCCACATAAATATTACTTCAAAACATTAAAACATTTCTCGTTCAAGTACTATATCTACACTTGAAAATAAAAGCCTAATAAAAAAAATAATATATACACTACTAATATATTACAAATATTAAATGTGCAAGGATAAAGAGTTTTTGTTTTTAAGATTGTAAGTCTTTCTCAAAAGTTTACACCTCCATTTACAAAATCTTCAATTTACATCGATCATAATGAAATTGTATTCAATTTACACCTACATCTATATAATTATTATAGTTTTTACTTTTTAGGGATATAAAATTATTAAATTAATGTATATAATTATTAATATTATAGTTGATTCATACTTTTATTAAGTATATAAATTATAACATAAGATTTTGTGATATCCACATCCACTAGTGTAAATATTTTAAATTGAAGATCAAATTCATTCTTTGTATTCATATAGGGTTAAGGAGTGTAGCTGTAAAAATTCATCAAAATCAGAGTTAAAATAACCGTTAAATCTTGATTTTTCGTTTATAACCGTCGAAAAGCTTTGTCCCGTTACTTGATCTCTGAATGTTTTTTTTTTGTGATTTTTTGTTGATGTGATCTCCAAGCATATACAAACAATTTTGACGGTTTGGATCGTTGAAATTAGTTTTGGAGAATTCGTAAAACGATAGATTGACTAACACTTAGAGTTTATTTATACTTTCATTAAGTATAACATAAGATTTTGTGGTATCCACTTGTGTAAATATTTTAAATTGAAGATCGAATTCATTCATTGTATTCATATAGGGTCAAGGAGTGTAGTTATAAAAAATCATCAAAATCGGAGTTAAAATAACCGTTAAATCGTGATTTTTCGTTTATAACCGTTGAAAAGCTTTGTCCCGTTACTTGATCTCTGAATGTTTTTTTTTTTTGTGATTTTTTGCTGATGTGATCTCCAAGCATATACAAACAATTTTGACGGTTTGGATCGTTGAAATTAGTTTTGGAGAATTCGTATGCCATCAATCAAGTTCCGTGTGTGTGTGTATATATATATATTTATTAAGTAGATTTAAATCTATTTATTTTATATGTATAAATTATAATTGACTGGTACACGGAATAGTACATACATCACGTGTCACGTGTGTCATTATAAAAATAGTGAGATATGTCATGACAGTCATGTGTGTGATAAAAAGTTAATAACTTAAAAAAAAAAAAAAAAAATTTCTCACCACTTCTATTAATTTTCATTTTTCCCTCTCTTTTTTGTTTCCTTTTCAACTTTTTCTTATCATTTTCACTTTTCCCTCCAACATCTTTCCCTAATTCCCTCACTTTTTTGTTTCATTTTCAACTTTTCTTAACATTTTCATTTTCCCTCAATTTTTTTTTTTTCAAAAAGGGCGGCAAGTTGGCAACGACAAGAAATTGACTATTGAAATTTGAATGGAAAGAAATCACATCAAATTTCAATGGATGCAAAATCATGCAATGCATCATGCATATTAAATTATTAATTAATAATTATTATAGTTTTTATAAAATTTAATATATATATATATATATATAATTATTATAGATAGACTTAATATTTTGGGGGTATAATTATTATAGTATATATAATTATTATAATTATTATAATTATTATAAATTTTATAGTTAATTTAATATATATATATATATATATATTTATTTATTATAATTTTTAGGGGTATAAAATTGTAAAATTAATGTATATAATTATTATAGTATTTTTTTAGGGTTATAAAATTATAAAAATAATATTCTGCTTATCGTGTATTGTGTTACCCACGTGTATACCCGAACCAACCCGTTATCTTAACAGGTGCTTATCAGGTTACCTGATAACGACCCGATTCGTTATCGTGTCGACCCAAACACCTGTTAATTTCGTGTCGTGTCGTGTCGGGTAATCGGGTCGTGTCAGAAATTGCCAGGCCTAGATGTAGTAGTGATTTTTGCGTTCTTTTTCGCATTTTCTGCTTGTGCTCTTTTAATTTTGATATTTAATTATTTTTTGTTTTGTTTATTTCAATGACGCAAAATGAAGGGTGTATAAAAATTATTATAGTATTTTACAAAGACAAAACTTAAATGAATATGGGGAATTACAGCTCCTTTGGTACGTAGTTGGTTTGAAATATATATAACAAGTTAATTTCAAGTATGAAGAAGGGAGAAATGAAAAACATTATGTCTAACTATGAGGTACAAGACGAATTATTCAAATAATAAACTTTGAAATTAGGGAGATAACAATGAGGGAGTTTTAAATTTCGCGCCTAATCCTCTTATGATCTCATCCCAAAAAAATAAATAAATAAATAAATCTCCTCGAAATAAAAATTCATTCATTTTTACCTTTAATATACTTTGAAATTAGGGAGTTTTTGGTACCGATCCAACCTTACGTACCAAATGGGCCCTTGAGGACTGGAATCTTAAAGTTTAAGCTCTATATGATGATTCTACATCCCAAAAGAAATATTCATGTTAATAAATAAAACCAAGCAGAAGAAATTAAGTCGAAACGAGGTTCTTAATCTGATCGTTTTATAAAACATGTCTAGAGAATAACTGTAACATACTCCCAAGTGTGCGAGCATAAAATATGAATGATCCAACCTTCAAAAACCGAACACCAATGTGACTTATTGAGTGAGGAGAAAGATAGAGAGCGAGAGGAAAGATTGACATGCTTACTTACTAAGAATGAGTAGCAAAGCATTTATCTTTCTCAATCTTGACATATCCTTCATTTACTAAGACACAATGGACGAAAAAAATAAATGGATCCAAAATTGAAATAAGGTATGTTGTACCCAATTTCAACTACGTATCAGTACTAAAGGAAATTGTTATCTCATACTTGAACAACTACATTGTATCATTACCATATCATTTGGGCAGTGTTATTCACGCACCCATTTTTACTTCTCAACAACCTTGATAATATTTATCCATCGATCTTATTTTAGTAATTCAATCCGACGATCGAAAATTGAGGCAAGTGTGTGAGAGGTAAAAATGTATGTGTGAACAACACCCTATCATTTTCACACCTGAAGAAGTAAACATGCTCTGGGTAGGAAACAAAGTTTTTCTCCTTCCATGAACCCTAAACTCTAAACCTGCATTGGTATAATATACTTTTAGCACTAGAGCTCGTTTGGTACACAAGATTAGATTATAATGGAGCACTCCTTAAATTCAAAGGTATAGTGAAGGTGCAAGTGACTGATTTTTTATTTGGAAGGGGATTTAAAGAGGGTTGTCTAATAACGAAATTCATCCCTTCTAATCCTACCATTTTAAGGAGGATTGAAATAGATAAGTTTCCTACCATTTTAAGGAGGATTGAAATAGATAAGTTTTGTTCACGAGTACATCCAGCTTGTATCCTCTAGAACATCATAATTTTATAATTTCTCCATTCAACCTACCTTTAGTTTAGCGGATTATTCATTACAATCTATGTGTACCAAACAAGCGCCAAATATCATTGCTTATAATCTCTCTTGTAAAAACAATGAGACTAAAAAACTGGTAGAAAATTCAGATTTGGGGCATTGATTAAGTTTGACTACTGCGAGTCCGAACCAGTATTGCCCTCAGTGTGTAGTGTGCTTCTGGTCAAATCAATCTCGTCCCCTGTCCTGTGTCCTGTGCTGGCACAAGACTGACGCACACGAAAATGTGACATCGAATTTCCACTACCTTCCAAGCAATGATAAATTTCTTCGATAACGTGAAATTTCTTTGAAAATATCTAAAAAAAATCAAAGAAAGATATGAAAATGGAATGTGAAATCTAAACTTCACCTTATATCCGTCGATATTTACAAAAATTTACAATCGATATTTTCACCGATACTAATATTTTAAACCCTGCTTCCAAGCCAATGACATAACGGTCAATCCAGAAACAAGAAAATAGAGGAAAGAAAAGCAAGAAGATAAAAGAATAGGGAAATCCAATAGGAAAAAAGGACCAACCAACCAATCCAAATCCTTATATTTTATTTTTCTCCCCCGCCTCACATGGCCTTTTGCCCCACAGCCACAGGACAGAAGGCCGATGAGATTACATACTTTTGGGTGCTATGGTGGACCCCACCAAGTTTCTTTGCCAAACAGCTAGCACAAAGAGGAACAACCAAAAAGGATCTATCTTCTTTCGAATCAAAACAAAACTAACACACGAAGATAGATGGCTCATCACCTTTTTTGGATATTATAGCCTGAGAGAGTAATTAATAGTTGAGACTTCACATCCTTAGAGAGACCATCTGTTTACCTGACAGACCTCCCCCTCCCGGAAGTAGGGCCGCCACGTGCAGTTGGATGGGCTCCTCTGATGCATTTGTTTAACCAGACTTGGTAATGGCATGGCAGTATGGTCTAGTCTCTCGTGTTTTCATAGTGATGCTGACGAGGAGGGGTTGAGCACGTGCGGCTGAGGCTGCTGGTGGACGTGGTGGCGGTTAAGAAACCCAAAATCACCGAACAGACCCTGAAACATATGAGGAAAGACAAGTGAAAATGTTAACAGTTTTTTACCACGAGTTCTCGTTCACCATCAGGTAGGCTAAATGAGAATTTGGATCTTATATTTGTTCATATTCCAAAAGATTATTCGAGTTATTTGGGTCGGTCTTGCGTGACAGAATATAACCATGAAAAAACGTAGACTGTAAAACGCATATGTGTGATATGCATCCCAGGATTTCAGTCGCATATGGACATACCAGTGCATCATTGATTGCATAAGCTACGCAGTAGTGCTCCTGAAAATCAGAAGATTGGGACAATACTCAGCGAAAAATTAATGATAATATCAATGAGCATATGACAATAAATCCTTCACTGCCCCCTGACTAGAGGAGAGAGATAAAGATGACCCAAATCATATCGGCATTTTCTGATAGGGCGGTACAGGTGGCACGATCCAGCCTCCCAGACAAAGGAGCAATCGTTGCGTCTAGCCCTACGCAATGATAACTTATATGTTTCATACATTTATAACATCCATTCCTAGTCACTTTGTGATATTTTTGAGTTAAACTAGTTGCATTTTACCCTCTTTTGTTTTAGTGTGCAGCTAATTGTATTTTGGAGCTCAGTTGAGGACAAATAAGGCAAAATGGTGCTAAAAGTGGAGAATTGAATAAGGATGCTGATGCAGACAAAGAATTAAAAGTGGAAACTGAATATGGTGATGAATATGGCTCTTTATAAGACCAATAACAGCAAAAAAACGTGGGAATTAAATGCCCAATTACTGGGATGTATTGGCAATCTGTAACAGCCTCTTTAACCTTATAAAACTGAGAGTTTCAGCCACTTTTACAACAAGCCCCCTTGGGGGTCGCCTAGAGCTCTCTCTCTTCTCTTTCTTTGGCATTTCTTCCAGAAACAAAACCCTAATTCCCTTCACCATCCGCTACCACTGAAGAAACCACGCAGCCGCGCTGTTCTTGAAGATGTTCAACATCAGAATTGCTTCAAGGGGGTTTCTTCTATAGTTTCACTCATGTTGTTCTTGATATTTGTATATTTTGTAATCATATTGGGTAATTAAGTTCATAGCTGGGGATTTCGATGTAGCCTTGCAAAACTATTCCATGCTATTAAGTTAAAGTATTCGATTCACCAATCTGTGTTCTTGTTTCATTCACTGATTTTATAGTTTAATTTGTTTGTTAATCTTAATGTTTGATCACCATTAGGGCTGCTTATGAATTATTTGATCAAGGTTATAGTACACATCATGCTTAATCTTGGTAGACATGTGAATGAATGAAGAAACTGCTATGCATACATCCTGCCCTGTGATTTCTTTGGTTCTTTGAAGTTTTCTTGTTCTTAATGGATTCTTACTTGCTAATCTAAGTTGAACATCACAACTAGGTTGCATATTAGGAGTACTTGATCATAACCACACATGAAATGGATGATCATAAATAAGTAAAACGAACCCTAGTTGCAGATTGGAGAGTTGAATGCGTTTTGACTTAACTTTCATGGAATTGACTAGTAATGGTGAAATCGGTATCCCTAGTTCCATTCCAATTATTTCTGAATCAACCTATCATATATCTTTATCTTTCTTGCATTTTTAAGTTATTTAAACTTTCAATTGAAAAATCTAAATTCAGTTTGCATTTTCATTGTTTAGTTAGGGTTCTCATAAAGCTAGTAATTTGTAGAGTTCTAATCAGTCCCTATTGTTCGACACCCTTACTTGTGCCATTATACCATCCTTATATTTGCACTTGAAAGGAAACACAACACACAACCTAGGTCCCTGGACTCACTGCGGTCCCATGAATCGTGTGCCTGCTTGTGGAAACTCACACATGCGCAAGCATACGCACAAATACAGGGAGGAGACCAATTTAACTAACCCCTGTCAAATTACTTTTACCAAAAAATGTTCTAACAATTCTGTTTCCCTCAACAAAATAAATGAAGAGGTGACTTGCCTGCATCATATGCCATTCTTCAAATTCATCAAACAATTCCAATCGTTCAATCCTAATCAACAAGACATCACATATCCCAATAATAATTCAGAAATGATAGCAAGTTAGCTGACAAAGAGCCATAAAAAGAGCAAATGCATGGACAGAGAAATAAAAACAAAAACGAAAGCAGAGGCACTTTATATCCTAGAAATTAGAAGCTTTAGAACCTTTGAAAACAGAGGTGGTACAGCAATATCACTACCACAGGATCTTGGTACAACCATATAAAATCAAAGAAACTTTCAAATATATAATAGCAATAGGAATACCAAAAACAGAAAGAACAAGAAAAAGCATAAAATCAGGGAAAAGACTTCCAGAGAAAAGTCTAGAGGGTTCTAATTTTCTGTATAGTAGATTTTGAAAAGCCGCTTATTTGCCCCTTTCCTAACCTTCAGGATCGAAACCCAAATTTGAAGTTTTTATTCTTAGGAGTACTCACGGATGGAACTCAACTCGTGTAGGAATGTATATGTTAGGAATGTACATGTAATGAAAATATTAAACTAGGAACTGGCTTTCTAAGCAGGTACATGATCAATTAGATAGTTAAGAAAATGAAATCCAAATATGAGTACTAACGACCGTACGACATATTCTATTATAACTTCATGTTTGGTTAGCTTGGACCATCTAAATTTTTTTTCAAGCAGAGCAGAATAAAATGGGTATCAAGATATTCTGAAAGCCAAGCAGTTTCACAGATTTGTAGAACTTAAAAGACAGTTAAATAAGGAGAAAATTTTGATAAACACTAATCCAAGTTCCTGGTAAAAATTAAGTGATGGGAATTGAAAAAGTGAATATTGTCCTTTCATGTCGGATCTGGCTGTCTGGCTATATTTGACAGTTATTCTGTTCACTGGTTGTATTGTGGGTTCATTCCCTCTGTACTATTTTACTAACCCTCAGTGGATGGCTGGTTCACTGATTTTGTATCGGTATTCTTTTTCAATTACAGAAACATTTTCAATTATAGAATGATTGTTCTTCGCAACAAAAGAGTAACAAGAAAGATAAGAAGTGAAGCATGTCACTGCAAAGATGAGCAAACAACCAACAGTTTTGCAAGATACACATTAGAGATACCTGCGTCTTTCTTGAGCTTCAACAAAATCACTGTACACTTTAAGCATGTCCCAGGCAACAGCCCTCTGAAACCTCACACATTCAAACTCACAACATTACTAAAAATAAAGATACATATAGGATGAAGATTAATCAAATGAAATAGAAACAGCAGTGGACATAATGCAAATAAAAGCAACCTAAAACATAAAACTTGATTTTGGAAGGTGACCAAGTTTTAATGGTGATCATAAATTCCTACGATGTGAAACTTCATTATTTTTTTGGGGTGTGAATTAAATCTTCAGAGAAACTTAAAGTTGTCATGTTATTATTTGTTCCAACCTATTTCCTGCTTATCTAGTTCATGCTATCATCATATACATCTCAGTATATCCAGAATATGATAGTTTAATGCCAAAAGGTACTAAATATAATTTACACAATCTACCTGCCATCCTTGGTCAACAAAAAGGTTTTCCTTTGCCTGTAATGTTGGTGTATCATGTATGCCCAAGAGCGAACAGCCTCGACTCTGAAAATACAAAACAATAACGATACTATTTACACATCAAATTTTTATTCCAGATAACATGAGATGGTGCTGAGCAAACATAGTTTCCCCTAAAGGAATAAAGAGATAAAATTAAGCATGAAACAGAAGCAGTTCCGGACCAATGTGGCCTAGACAATCTTCAAGTTTGATATATCCGTTTTTGGATTGATTTATATATTTATTCTATTCAAAACAAGAGAATTTATTTAAAATTTAGTCCACAGTAATAACTGTAATTCAGGTGCCTAGTAACTGAAACAAAACACAACTGTCCTCAAATGTCCTATTATTCCTCTCCGCCATAAACACAACGAGAGGCACAATGACATTTCTTCTAATATTTACAGAGTATTTAAAATATATACAGGACTCAACAGACTCTAAATGGACACTACAAGCATAAAAGTTGAGGCAAGCACAAAATCATCATAGCCCATGCTCATTGTAGTTTATCACACTGCACAAAGTATTATCTTCCTTTGTTTAACGGGACCTTATAATTAACAACAGAACTTGGAACTTACAAAACCTATTTTGGTTGCATGAGCAAAGCCCCAAAACATATTCCCAATGAACAACTGACCTTATCTATCATGAGGTGCTAGAGTTTAAAAAACAAAATCATTGCAAGGTTCTGCCCTGTTCTCAGACAAAGGCTGAGACAAAATTGTCATGTATATCAGAGAACCTAAGTTTTGAAACGTGTAGTTTTGGCACTTTAATGGTAATTTGATTAGGAGATCTCTTGTATGAGTACTCTTCCAACACCTGTGCTTCTGATATTCTTTTAAACATTTAAGTTTTTATCTATCACTAATTAATTCAAAACTAAGTATAATAAAATGGTGAAGATCTGCAAGGGCTCAATTTTTATTTTATCTTTTTAGAAAGAATCGACAAAGACAATAGAAAGACACCAAGGGGAAAGCCACATCGTGAATCAAATTTAAAAGAAAAGTACTGAATTACTAAATAAATAAGGAAAAAGAACTGGAAAAACTGGAAGAAAGTAAAAACAGACCTCCAAGTTTCTGATCATCTGCTGCCCAAAAGCATCATCCGGATGAATCTGCTCATATAAGAAAAATACCGCCGTAGAAAATGCTTTTGCTGTCCATCTAAGTATGGAACGACTTGAATCTGGATCCAAGTATATCAAAACGCATTCTGCAATTATAAAAGTTGGAAGGCTGATAATAATATTAGAATAAACCATTTAATCACTAACTCAAGAAAAACTTAAACAACAGGATATGAAGAATAAAGGAAAGACTCAGTGAATACATTAACAACATACTGCAGGTTCCCTAGGATTCACCACACCAAATGGGATGGACAGCAGAATCAGCATAGACCCTATACCCTATAACATGAGACTTCTTCCCAAATGTTCTATGCATGTGAGATTGGTCCCTGATCTCTCACATTTCTTTCCATGAGGAGTTAACCCAATTCCAACTTTTACTTTTAATACCTAATTCCCAAGGGAAATTTGTTTCCTACTTATTTCTTACCCCCCCCCCCCCCAGGGGGAGTCGTCTCTCATGTTAAAAAGATCCACAGGTCTTCTATTAATTTATTCTTTGATAAGAATCAAGAGGCAATTTTTAGCGAGTACCAAATGCATATTTTGTATAGTAGATAAAACAGTCTCCCTAACAATAAAAAGCATCACCATATTTTAGGGAGGCTACAGTAATTGATATCTAAATGACACACCACAAAAGGAAAAATCAGTAACCCAAAACTCCAAAGAAGTGCTGAAATTACTATAATGAGATCTTGAGATCTAATGTAAGCACATACCTCGGATTCATACCAGCTAAAGCTATAACATCGTCTAGTTTTGGTATGTCACGTAAATCAACAGGAAGTAGCTTGTAGTGGTCACTGAGCACTTCTCCACTCTCTGCAAAGTAAAAATACTATAACTGTGTACCGATAACGGTTTGAATATTTCAATTCTGAACATATGAAAAATAACTGACATTCCTAAAGATACGAATTAAATTTCCAATCACAAGATAAAGGGGAATCAGCAAGGAAAGTTTTAAAAGTGCATCAGTGAAGTTTGCAACTTTGCACAATTCATATAGGTACATAAGGAAAAGAAAAAAATCAAAGAGAGCACTTCAAAGGCACATGTGGTCAACACAGGAGTACCTACCTTGAGAGATTGATGCTGTTGCACTAATTTTGTCCCTCAAATGACTGCACGTTTCAATAAGTGTGGCCTTCTTACTAGTTACCTAACAAACAAAAAACACATAGTTTGAATTCCTGGTGTGATAAAGATGCAAGTAAAAGTAAAAAATTGAAGATAATATTTCTCTGCACTAGATACAGCAGAAAATTAACTCTTGGTCCGAATGAAAACGGTCGGTTAGCTTGAGTTCATCCACAAAATATTCATTCATAAAATGCAAGATGGTTTGCATCCTCGAAGAAAAGTCAGTGTCTATCGCCAACACAATCAATGCAATGTTAATGAACATTTCATAATCCATACCTCCTTAAAATCCAGCTCAACATATAAATATGGTGCTCTCCCCTCATCCTATCAACCAAAAAATCAAACAAGAGTTAATATAATACTATTGACTCACGAATGTAGGAGACGAAGAGAAGATCACAAAAAGAATCACGCTAAAGATTTGTACGGAAAAAAGCACTCCTGATTCCTGAAACTATCTCAAAAGGGTTCCATCCTATTTCACAACCACAATGCTAGTAGGACGAGATTGACGTAGTTTCAACACCATTTTTTCCAAATACAAAATCTTACACAACCCACAACCATAAAAAATAAAAAAAAAAGTAAACTACCTGCAGCTGAAAATATGTTGTATCAAAGCCAGCTCCAAGTGATAATATCTGCTTCTTCAAATGACCCTTTTCGCCACCATTTCCTCCGGCATCAAGAAACTGATTTAGAAGCTTCCGCAGAGCGGCCCAACGTGCAAAGTAACCTGGTTTAACGCACAAACAAGCCAGAAAAGGAAATCAAAAGTCTTTACTGAACTTTCAACTCTAATTTTTTTATGGAGCAAGTAAACCTAAATCATACCACGGTTAATAATCGGAGATCTTCTCACAGGTCTTCTCACAAACAAATGGACATAATCGTCTTTCATGTACCCTTTCTTCACGCACGACCTTTAAACAGCGATACAGTCACTTCAAAGTTAGCATCACACTCTTGACACAAAATTGGATTTTCCTCTCTATTTTCTCGGCAACCAAACAGAAATTAAAGAAAATTTCATCGCACAGTACCATACAAAATGCAAATTTTGACGGAAAATATATGCAGACTCACAAAAATTAAGGAAAAAAAAAAGGAAGGCTTAATTCGAAAGGGGCAGAAAGTGGAAAGGTACAGAAAGCGCACAGTTTGCTGGCCGAGGCGTCGTCGTTTGTTGCTTGAACTGCTTCTTTGTTGCTGTGCGAATCCATTTCCAGATTTCAAGTTTTCTCCTCTCTCTCTCTCTCTCTCTTTCTTTCTCTGCATTTATTTTTAGGATGTGCTCTCCGTAGACTTCTTTTTACTTCTCACTTTGGTGCGTATTTCTCGGACGACACACTAGTTCAGTTCGGTTCCTCTTTTTTTTTTTTTTTTTTTTTTTTTTTAACAAACAATATTATCTATATGTTTACACGAAAATTCGGGTTTTAGCTGAAATCGAAAACCATATCGAATATACTGTTCGTTTCGATTCAGTTTTCCATCGATTTTTTTTTATTCGGTTCAATTTTGGTTCAATTTTTTCTAGTTCAGTGTCGATTAGGTTCGAGTTTTTTTATGAATATTTTTTATAAAAAAAATGAAAATTGATAAAAAAATGTTGTGCTAAAAATTGCAATCTCTTACTATAAGAAAATCAAAAAATTATTTACACAACGGGGATAAAAGCGATAAAGTCCAAAGATGCAATGTGATTATGCTGACTGAGACACAATCAAATTCGCCCCCCACAATTTGTCCAGTTTGACAATGAGAAAATGAAAAGCACTTGCAGAACGTATGGGGAGAAACGAGAAAATGAAAATAGAAGGTGGGGAGAAACAAAAGAAAAGAAGAGGGCTCAAAATATCCGGTCTGCAAGTTTGCTTTTAAAGACATTTGGGTAGGGGTGGGCATAAAAACCGCCAAACCGCAAAACCGCATCGAACCGTAAGAAAAAAAAACCGAAAAAAACCGTGTTGGCCGGAAAAGTCAACTTTGAGTGAAAAACCAAACCGAACCGAACCGTTCAAACCGGTTCCGGTTCCTGTTTCGAATGACCAAGAACCGGCCGAACCGAACCGAACCGTTTTATTAATAATAAATAAATAAATTATATATACACACACATGTCATGGTATAATAGGTTGAAAAATTGTGTACAGGAGCTGCTGCTTCTTGCTTGCTCTCTGAAGTCTGAAAACCTGCAATTTGCTTCATCATTTTTTTGTTTGTTGACTGATTGACCAGTGCATATGTATTTTAGTTGTCTCTTTTTGTTGATTTGGTGCCACTAACAAAGACATTTGCATTAAAAAAGATGTGTTGTATGCAACTTTATGTAATCAGTTTTAGAAGATGTATTTGAATGCATAATGATTTGGTGTTCAAATAATTTATTATTAGGAACCGTAAACCGGCAAGAACCGAATCGGAACCGGTGTAGACCGAACCGTAATGTTCTAGTAATAAATTTAAATGGAACCGCACCGAATCGAACCGTTAATATATTTCGGTTTCGGTTCCAATTTAGGGGTGGAACCGCACCGAACCGCACCGTGCCCACCCCTACATTTGGGTTTGAAAATTGGGCCCAAAAAATAAATACCCAATATAAAATAAAAGTAATATATTTTCAATTCGGTTTGATTTTCAAACTTTAGAAACCAAAACCGAACCAACCACATTTGGTTCGGTTTCTTCTTCAACCTCGGTTCAATTTTCGGTTTTTTTTAAAAACCCACTCAAACAGGACAACCAAACTTCCAAAAACAAACCGCAACAAAGTGTGGTGTGCACGCAGCGCAATATAAATGCCTTGTGTATGCAGTGGATAGAAATAGGTTTTAACATACATCAACTTGAATTTCAGAGGATTTTAAAAAAATGTTTTATATGTGGCAAATTTCAAAGGACTTTAATAGATTCTAAATGGATTTGACAGATTTGTATAGATTTCTATAAATTTGTATGGATTTCTTAGGATTTCAAAGGAATTTAACTTGTACTCTTTGTAACTGAAATTCTTGCCAAATGTTGCTGTAGAGAAGAAAATGTTGAGGCCAATCTAATATCAATATTATAGACTCGTCTTCCAAAAAAGAAAATGGCCTTGCAGATAATATTGTTGGCTTGGCAATCTAATACTGAAACAAGACATGAACAGTGGATCATATGAACAATCTACATAATATCAGATCAAATTAACAAAAAATTCTATCATCCTTAACTACATAAATCATGTGTGTTTTATATAGGGTGCAAGCATGTACTAAATAAATTGATTTCTTATTTACCAGCAAGGAAATGCATGAGGATATTGAGATAACATAGAATTAGCCAAAGTTATCTAGGAGATTGTTCCCTAGTTTCTCTTAACTTATTTTGCTCTCTAGTTTTTAGAAGACATTTTCTAGGAATGATTTTATTTTATAAAGCTATAAATAAGGCTAATTAGTCATTAGGGTTCACTACACATTTGTTTGGTGAACTCAACTTAGAGAGTTTTTGACGATTCAACTTTATTTTTATAAGGTGTTTTTTATCCATGCTTTCAATAATATTTTGCTTTTTGACTATGATTATACATAATTAATTCGATGTCAATTTACTTATGTATTATGCAAGCAAATTTTGAATTATTAATCACCGTATTTGGAACTATCTAATTATCCTAATAATTACGATATTTAGAAAAGTAATTTGATGCAATTTTGGTTAGAGAATTGACTAAGGCTTCTTGTGATTAATAATTATAATTTCACTTAGGATGAATATCACATCTTAAGGGTTGCATGATTTTTCAAAGGATTTTCATAAAAACTTAATGAGTCTTATATGTTCATATTTGATCTAAATATCACAGATTGATTACATGTTTAATATACGTTCTATATTGGTATCCAAGTAGAGCATACTTTAGAAAAATCTCACTATCAAAATATGCATGTATAAGTCATAGGTAATTAGAAGAACTACATAGAATTATTAAGGTAATAGCGAACTGTAGTGCTTTTACAACTTGATTTTCAAAAAGTGCTTTCTTTTGTTTCTCTTACTTTGTTGATTTTTTAATTGTTTTAGGGGTAAATTACATTTTACCCCTTTAGGTTTGAGGCACAATTACAACCTCATACAATATCTTTAAAACATTTCAATGAAAAAATGCATAGTTAAAAACACTTGCAAAGCATATGGGGAGAAACAAAAGAAAAAGAAGAGGGCTCAAAATATTTGGGCTTCAAGTTTGCCTTTCAAGACATTTGGGTTTGAAAATTGGGCTGAAAAAATAAATACCCAATATAAAATAAAATTAATATATTTTTAGTTTGGTTTGATTTTTGAACCTTAGAAACCAAAACCGAACCAACCACATTCGGTTCGGTTTCTTTTACAACCTCGGTTCGATTTTCGGTTTTTTTTTTTTACCCACCCAAACAGGACAACTGAACTTCCAAAAAAAAAAAAAAACCGCAACAAAGTGTGGTGTGCACGCGGCACAATATAAGTGCCTTGTGTATGCAGTGGATAGAAATAGGTTTTAACATACATCAACTTGAATTTCAGAGGATTTTTAAAAACTTTTTATATGTGGCAAATTTCAAAGGATTTTAATAGATTCTATATGAATTTGACAGATTTGTATAGGTTTCTATGAATTTGAATGGATTTCTTAGGATTTCAAAGGAATTTAACTTGTACTGTTTGTAACTGAAATTCTTGCCAAATGTTGTTGCAGAGAAGAAAATGGCGAGGCCAATCTAATATCAATATTATAGACTTGTCTTCTAGAAAAGAAAATGGCCTTGCCGATAATATTGTTGGCTTGCGAATCAAATACTGAAACAATAGTTGACATCAACAATGGATCAGATGAACAATCTACATAATATCAGATCAAATTAACAAGAAATTCTATCATCCTTAACCACAGAAATCATGTGTGTTTTATATAGGGTGCAAGCATGTACTAAATAAATTGACTTCTTATTTACCAGCAAGGAAATGCATGAGGATATTGAGATATAGAATTAGCCAAAGTTATCTAGGAGATTGTTTCCTAGTTTCTCGTAACTTATTTTGTTCTCTAGTTTTTAGAAGACCTTTTCTAGGAATGATTTTATTTTATAATGGTGTAAATAAGGCTAATTAGTCATTAGGGTTCACTACGCATTTGTTTGGAGAACTCGACTTAGAGAGTTTTTGACAATTCAACTTTATTTTTACAAGGTGTTTTCTATCCATGCTTTCAATAATATTTTGCTTTTTGACTATGATTATACATAATTAATTCAATTTCAATTTACTTATGTATCATGTAAGCAAATTTTGAATTCTTAATCACTGTCACATCCACATCTCGCCTGAGATGTGGTGGGGGCCCAGGTCGGGAAAAGTTAAACCTTCGATCAAAGATCAATGGTAGGGTCCACAACCCCACGCAACTCAATCCGGAAGATCCACATCTCGGATTTCCGATACGAAACTTCTAAAGATCCGCATTATACTTCTAGAACATCTTTAAGGATGTGTTTTACGTAAATTACATGATCTATTGATAAGAATTTTGAGATGTGGTTTGACAATTCTCCTAAGCGCCGATCGTTCAGAACGCCTCGATGGTTGTGCTAGGAAGTTGTAACATGGACTTCAGGTGAGTGGATCTTTTCCTTTTTATTGTGTGTGTATATATATATATATATACATGATTGATAATTTCAAAAATACTTTTAAATTGAATTAAGCAATTTATGTCATGGTTTATCCATATGCATGTTACCTACAAATAATTGATGTGAACTACGAATGGCTTGATCCCTGTTTAGGATACGTAGGCAGTCTAACGAGACGTTAAATGCAACCATACAATAAGTGAGATACAATAATTGAGACAAAAACCTTGTTTGGGAAATTGAGCAATGTGAAGAAAATTGGTGGAAATGTGAGTTTTAGCTTTATGAATTGGTGGTTAAATGTGGTCATAAATCAATGTGTGAGGAACAGAAAATTGATGTAAGAAATCGTCAGTTTGGATAGTTAGTTAAACTAGTGTTTAGTTGGGTTTATCACCGATAATTATTCATGAAAGTAAATAGTTTAGGAGTATGGCATTATTGATTGTATATTCTACGCCATATTATATAATTTGGGAATACTATGAAATGCATGATTCTTAGATTTGCATCATGGCATATTCTTATATATATTACCTGAACCTAATTATTGTGAATGCTTTGAAGTGCCAAATGACGTTGCGGACACTCAGGTAAGCTTCAGGTGAGTACATGTTGATGATAGTGATGGTAGTGAGTATGATTGTGTGCAGATGTATTTAATGCTCATTATCCTGCACCTTGGTGTTAGTACTTCGCCCGTGGCCAGGACCGCCTTCACGTGATCGTAGCACTTGAAAGTATTTATTTACACCTAGCTTGTCGTATAGACCATTCTAGGTGGTTCTGACTCTTGTGCAGGATTTGGTAGATGAGCTAATTGATGAGATATGTGATGAGATATGGAAGAACATATCACTTTAGGTGACTCCGACTTATATGCTAGCCATGATTGATGAAATATGTGATAAAATATGGATAAGTCGTACAAATCACTTTAGGTGACTCCGACTTATATGCTAGCAATGACTGATGAAATAATTGATGAGATATGGATTCAGCCGTACAGGTCATGTGAGCTGACTCCGACTAATACGTTGATGAGCTATTAGTTCAGTCGTACAGGCCACCAAAAGTGGATCCGATTGACATACCATTTCATATTAATTTATTTCATCTAGGTTACTTATTTTGTGTTATTGAGATATTTGGCGTGGCATATTTATGAATTTCGTTATTTTGAGCATGGTATTGAGATATATATATATATATATATATATATTATATATATATATTCTATTTTCTGGGAAAGTATACAAGTGTTACGGTGATGGGCCACTACCTTTGGTTTGAAAAGTTTTGTTCACTCACTCACGTTTTCTATTTTTGTACCCCTCCAGGTTCTAGCAGCAGAGTTTCATATCGACGAGGATTCGTAACACTTTCCAGTACATATGTTTTTTTATGATGGTATAATCATTATCTTACCTTACTATACTATACCTATACTCTGTATCACGCGTGAAATGGGTCCAGACCCGCTCATCGCGCACTCGTGTACTTAGGCACTTTTAGATTTTAATTTATTGACATTTTATACATTATCACATTTTATGGCTTCGTCACCTTCCAGGTGTCGCCCAACACGCCTCGATTTGAGGTCCTAGTGGATATTCCGGGTCGGGGTGTGTCAATCACCGTATTTGAAACTATCTAATTATCTTAATAATTAGGATATTTAGAATAGTAATTTAATGCAATTTTGGTTGGAGGGTTGTCCCTAAAATTGACTAAGGTTTTTGTGATTAATAATTATAATTTCACTTAGAATGAATATCACGTTTTAAGGGTTGCATGATTTTCCAAAGGATTTTCATAAAAACTTAATGAGTTTTATATGTTCGTATTTGATCTAAATACCACAGATTGATTACATGTTTGATATACGTTCTATATTGGTATCCAAGTAGAGCATACTTTAGAAAATCTAATTATCAAAATATGCATGTACAAGTCATAAGTAATTGGAAGAACTACATATGGCTGTTAAGGTAATAGCAAAAATGTGGTGCTTTGACAACTTGATTTTCAAAAAGTGCTTTCTTTTGTTTCTCTTACCTTGCTTATTTTTTAATTGTTTTAGGGGTAAATTACATTTTACCCCTTGGGTTTGAGTGCAATTGCAACCTCATACAACATCTTTAAAACATTTCAATTCATACACAAACTTTTATCTTGTTGCAGTTTCATACATTCGTTAATTAAACTATTAGTTTGACCGTTACGTGATGAAGTGTCAAATACATGACCCACATATTTGATGATGTGGCATATAAAAAACAATTTAAACAAAAAAATAAATTTAACCAAAACAAAAAGGGGCCCACCCCGTTCTCCCACCCGAGACCTTTATCGCCATCTCCTTCTTTCTCCACCAACACCACCCATCCCATATGTAGAATTTTTCAGGTCGATGGCCCGAGGGCATACTCCAACAACATCGATATTGTCCCCACTTAACCACTTGCATAATCTTCAGGTGTGGATTTTTATCACAAAAGGCCTTGATGTTAGTTATAGAGGGGTATTTTTATTCAAACTGCTCTTATCTTCTCTCTCTGTTCGATGCGGGACAAATGAGGGTTCCAACACCATACAACCATGTCAATCATCCCCCTCTTAAATCTCCCCATCTTAATCCCTAATAGTTCCAGATTATCAAAGTTGAAAATTGCACAACCAATAATTTGAAACCAAATATATGATTCCCAAATCATGACACAAGGCACGGCGTCGATTAACTCCTTCGACATTGGCGATGATCGTCCTTGCCACCCAACCGCTGCAGCAACAAGTCCAGGTCCGAATATCCTTTGTTCACCGCCACACGTTGATGAGGTCGATTCCTTCCTACGGGGTTTGTCTTTCCAGGTTTTCTCCATGGGCCTTCTAGTCATATGTCGCGGTAGAGGCGGCTGCACCTAAAATTAAAGGCATGAGCACAGAGAGAGCTCTCGATCTCGACCTCTCCTCACGACCCAGTCGAAAAGGGAAGATAATTCAGAAACAAACTTAGCTTTGGCAGGAAATTTTTTGGGTTTTTTTTTTTTTTTTTTTGGATTGAGAGCGAAAAATTGAGAGAAAATTTTAGGGAAATTTGGGGAAGACGAAGAATCAGAAAAAAAAATGGAAAATCTGCGAATGGGGTTTAGGGATTGTCGGGGGAAGGGGCGGAGGATTAACATCGTTGTTGTATGGGATAGGTCGTGGTGGTGGATTTTTCATAGTCAAACTTAGTAGCCGAAGAACACGGAGGAGAGAGAGAAGTCATCTAAAGAAAAAGCCCCGAGCTTTCCCGAGAAAATGGTCTAATAGAGAAATCTCCAAAAACCTAATTCAGAAAACGCCACGATTTTCCAATCCCCTGTGGGTTTTTGGGAAAGTTTCCACCTTGGTCATTCGAATTGAGCTCCAGAACACGAACAAGCAACTGGGTTTTGGGTTTCGAATTTCAGGTCAAGTTTTATCATCTGTGATCTGAGGAAGAGTGATAGGGGTTTGGAGCAGTAAGGTGATGAGAAATTAGAGAAAATGCCACAGCTTTGCACATATCTATGAACTCTGTACAGACATTGGAGAGAGAAGAAAATGGTGATGGAGGTCTCGGGTGAGAAAAGGGGATTGTGCCCTTTTTTGTTTTGTTTTAATTTATTTATTTTTTTTGTTTAAATTGCTTTTTGTTAACAAATGATTTTTTATATGTCACGTCATCAAATATATGGGTCATTCATTTGCCACGTCATCACTTAATAGTAAAAATAACGGTTTAACTAACAGATGTATGAAACTGCAACAAAATAAAAGTTTTTGTATGAGATTGAAGTGTATTAAAGATATTGTATGAGGTTGTAATTGTACCCAAACCTAGGGGGGTAAAATGTAATTTACCCTTGTTTTAGTTAAACTTCGTTTTTAATATTTTAAGTCACAAAATCATTCTTTCCAAACTTTGGTTTAAATAATTAATTAAGAATTAGTTTCAAATATGAATTGTTTTTAATAATTCATGTGGAGAACAATCTTGCATAAGCATTTATACTACAACTATTTGTACACTTGCAAGTATTTTCAAGTGTTTTTATCTCTACTTTTGCATGTGGTAGAAATCCTATCACTTATCCAGTGATCGGGTTCGAGATGTGCCTTGAATCTATTCGACAAATTGTGCATGAATTTTCTTCCACATTTGTTGTACCCTCATCTCATTTCTAGTGATTGGGTCATGAGTAACACACACCTAATCCTCAAGCAAAGCAACGCCTTATGCGATCAATCAAATTGCCTTCTCCTTCATTGTCAAATTTTAGTTGAAAATCCAACCGTCCAAATTATCTGGCGATTGAAAATTCAACAGCTCACAACAAGCCACATCATGGAGTCGTTGGTCTTCTGCAGCGAGGCCCACCCTTGCAACTGCTATTGACCACTCACCATTTGTTGCACATATGTTACACCGCTTGACAGAAAAAAATTAAAATAATGGGTGACGTCAGCTTGATGTATAACTCCAAAATTCTAAACCCTTTAACTGTATATATTCACCTATAATATATAAGGGTAAATTATATTTTACCCCTCAGATTTGGAGGTTGTTACAACCTCATGCATTATCTTAAAAACACTTCAATCTCGTATATTTATTTATCATTTATTTCAATTTCATACATTCATGAGTAAATCTATTAGTGAAATCGTTAGTTTGATTGTTAAATAATGATGTGGCAAATGCAAGTCTTATATTTTTTGCTGACGTGTCAGTCAATTGTGCCACTTATGTGGATTTGACTTGGGTGCGCCAAGCTAATCAATTTCATTTTTATATTTTTATCTTTTCAATATCTATGAAACTTGATATTCTCTCATTGTTAAGTGTTAACGCATAAAAAAGATTTATAATCAAATTTATTGTACGTATGACATAATATTATGGGGTGTTGGGTTCCACGTATTGTGTATGTGATGACCTATAAGTTTTAGAGAGAAAAGAGATAGTCGATAAGGGATCGTTTGGATGTATTTTTAAAATGACTGAAAGAGCTTTTAGAGAAAATATTTTTGGGTTCCAAAAGAACTTAAAGTGCTTTCTACAAGAAGCAATAGTTATGTGCTTCTTCAAGAAACACTTTAAATGATTTTTTCAGAATTTATTTGCATATTTACTGATGATTGGTTCTAAAAACATTTTCATTAAAAACACTTTCAGTCATGTCAAAAGCACATCCAAATTAGCTCAAATCAAAACGAAACGAATTTTGAGTTTCAAAGATAAAATGATGACTTTTAAGTTACAGGATGTAGCTAAAAATAAAGAAAAAAAGTGCTAGAATCATTAGGTCTGATGTGTTTTAAGCGGTTGATCAGCTGGGCCCTACATTGTCCGTACTATCATCCACGGCTATACACCATGCCACATAACTAGGACCGCTAACCACTCTTGGGTTCAAATAGAATCAGACTATGCCACCTTTCTACTCTAGGATCCTCTCTCCGAACCGAAACCCCTCTATTTTCTCCTCAATCTCTTCCCAAAATTCAAGCCCACCAAATCCCTAGCTTTCCACTGCTGTAATTTTCACCGTTTTGTCTCCAATTTTTTCATCGCTGAAATTATATTTTTGCTGTTTTGAGAGATGGAGATTGAGCAAAAGCAAGAGGAGGTCATCGATCACTTCGTGAAGCGAGCCTCGTCTCTCGACGGCTCCGCCCTCGGCCCCCTCGTCGCGGAAGCCACCTCCCACCCTGCCCTTTTCGCCTTTTCGGAGATTATCGCTGTACCTAATGTTCTTCAGGTTCCCATATATTTTTTTAAATTTTTAATTTTGTGAATTTTCCTTTTTCTGTATGTTTTTTGGTGTTGTAGTTTCTGGGTGTGAGCAAAGAATGTTGTTGCAGCCAAAGAGAAAAATAAAATTGTTGATTGTTACTGGGTTCTTAATTTTTTTTACCATGAATTTTGATACGCATTTGTTTTTGACTCTGATATATGTGCAGCTTGAAGGAACTGAAAATTCTGTGTACCTGGATCTGCTTCGATTGTTTGCACACGGCACATGGAGTGATTACAAGAGTAAGCACACGAAACTCGCTTCAGTGTTTTGGTCGATTTTATAGTGGGTTTGTTAATCTCTAGCTATTGGTTTGATTGCTTTGGTCATCTTGCACCAAATCGATTAATGTTTGTTTTCCGCTTCCATGTTTGTGATAAAGAAATCGAGTAATGACGCCCTTAAATTTAAACGTCGACAATTATGCTCTCCAAAGTGATATGCCCTGTTGCAACATGGAAACAAAAACCAGAAGGAGAAAATCCCAAAATTCGAGCCACTGTTGGAACTGTCTATTGGCTCATTGTTTAATACATTGTGCAGCCTCATTTGTCTAGTACTTGTGGCGGGGTTTTGGGTGCTAACATGGTGGGTACTTTTGTCGTGTTAATGTAGCTTCAGGATGTAACCTACCCGTGTATACTTCTATCAAGCTCGTCCTTGGAGTCATCACTTTAGCACCAGTTTTGGTTTCTTACTGCTTCTTTGGAGATGTCAAACACAGATACTATCTTATACTTTTTCACTGATAAGATGAATAAATGAGGCAGCAACATATTCTCGTAAAAAGAAATTTTAAACTGCCACATCTTTCTTAAAGCTACCGCTGTATCTTTTGTTAAAATCTGCTACTGTATCGTTTATTATTTCCTGCATTCTGGCTGAGATGGTACCCCTCCATAACATTTATGCTTTTCCTTTTTACTTCAATAATTTTTAACATTCAGTGAGATATTGTCAACTGCTAGGAGAACTCCATCCCATAAACTCCCGAGTATTTTTTTCTTTGAAAAAAGAAATTTAAGCTTCTTTTGGCATTGTGATGGAATTTAAGAAACTGAAAAGTAGTTAAACTGCAGGTGATGCCAGTCGCCTACCACAGTTGGTCCCTGATCAAGTCTTAAAGCTGAAGCAGCTCACTGTTCTTACACTGGCTGAGACAAACAAGGTATGTTTCCTTAAATGCGTAATCCTCATATTATGAAAAGTTGTTGGTGATATACATCTCTGATTGTGTAGTAATGGTTATGGCTAGGGATGGGCAAAATACTCATGGGTATGGGTAACCGCGGTTATCCGCTGATTTAAAATTGACAGTTACAGTTATGGGTAACCGGTCAAACAAATACGAGGTTGTGTGTATAACCGTTTACCAGTGAAATATAAATGGGTGATTATGGATATTTTCAGCGGTTACAAATAGGTACCCATTTAACCATTTGTAATATTTGTAAAATTTAAAAAAATAAAAATAAAAAGCCCTAAAAACTACGAGACCTCTCTCATCGCTGCTCCTCTCTCTCTCATCACTGCTCTCTCTCTCATCTGTGCCTCTCTCTCATCTCCGACAAAACAATTTTGTCATGATGTCGGTTCTTTCCAAAACCATTAACCTTCGTTAGCTCAATAAAATACCCTCCTGCGTATGGAGTTGCCTCTGGTTGTATCTATATGGCCATAGTGATACAATACCCACACTAAAGAGGTAGTTTTAAAGAAGGCAGAAGCTACCTACAAAATATTATTTACCACAAGTGGCCTGAAAAACAAGCTACATTTTTCTATCAACGATTCACTTTTTCTCGATCAAATAACTGGTTCCTCCTCAAACTTAGTAGTTGGTCTAAACACTAAGGATTGGGATTGAAAATATGTGGTATCTGTACTCGGCATGGCAAAACTTCTTCATTAAAATAAAATGAAGAGTTGTGACAACTATTTGTAAGCTTTATAATTTCCATCATTCAATTCTAGTTGACAAGAGATTGATCAAATAAATCACTTGCTTCTATAATGGCGTTCAATTGTCCAAAAAAGAAAATTATGACAAATTTCTTTGTTAATTTTCAACTTTAAAAAAACGGGTAAACGGGTAAAACCGGATAAACGGTTATGCGGTTACGGTTAAATGGGTACACGGTTATGGATACGATTACGTGTTTATAAACGATTATGGGTATGGGTATACCCGTTTATACAGTTACCCAATGGGTAAATTGTTATGTGGGTAAGGGCTTAAACGGTTATGGGTCAATAACCACGGTTACCCCCAAGCCATAAATAGCTGTATGGTTTTTCAATGTGATTATATGGAGCTTGTCTCTTTTGGTACTTGATGTCTTCCATGCTTCAAAAAATATGTCGTCATAAAGGAAAAGTGAAGGGAGAGGAAAATTGTCATCACTTCTAGACAAGTCTTATGGACAGATATTTGTTTTAGTTGCACTTGGATCAAAGCCTGTAGTTTCCAATTGAATTCTGAATGTAATAGATTATGGTTCCTTTTACTGCAAAGAATGATGTGAAAAGTTAATTTAAAATATGGAATGCCATAAGCTTATTAGGTCCAATTAAAATCAGAACAATAGTGGGCTTACAGGTCCTTATTATCTGATGCATTTGATTGATCATATCATGTGATTGTTATGCTAAAAGACTATGAAGAAAGTCTTCTAGAACCTTTTTAAGTATTTGTAATGTAGTGATTCCTCATATCATGATATTGTTATGCTAAAGGCCTATGGAGAAAGCCTTCTAGAACCTTTTAAGGATTCAGCTACACTTTTTTTTTTTTCCTTTTTGGGGAGAGAGAAGGGGAGGGGGTCTAGGTCACTATTGAGTAAATATCCGTTTTTGATATACACAGATGTCCCATATTGTGTCGTGCATTCTGTTTTCTCATATATTTTTGAAATATTTTCCAGGTACTACCGTATGATCAACTTATACAGGAGTTAGATGTTATTAATGTACGTGGGCTCGAGGATTTTCTCATTAATGAGTGCATGTATTCGGTAATTATTCTTTCATCCCTCTACCTCTATTGTTTCCAGCTACCTTGAAACATTCATCTTTTAATGGACAAAAAAGTTTCTTTAGTGAAGGCTGTGGAATGAATATCATAACTTCAACAAATTATTATTTAAATAAATACTCTTCTCCCTGCCAATTTGTCTCAGTGTGTGCATGTGGGGCAGGACACTGCTATGATTATTTTATTATTTCTGTATAAAATGTGTTCTTCCCTTTGTAAGAATATTATTTTTGAATATCGGACAGTACCTGAAAATTGTTACTGTTAGTTTTGTCTATGAAGCCCAGATATTCCAAATATTGCAGGTGTGGAGTATCCTGTAAGGATATGGCCCTGAGCACCCGATAACACCAGAACAGTTATCGGATACAGATTTGCAGTATTCGTTGATGTTTTGTAAGTTTGACTTTTGGATATAGTGCAACATGTGTTGTGTACGAATGCATCCAGATGCACAAGGTTTTTTTTGGTGAATTTTTTCCTTAAAAATGGGGGGTGTCCATGGTATTTTTAAATTATGAACTCATTTCTGACTTTCTTATGTAGATAACTTTTGCACATATATATGTAATGTGATTATGTGATATATACTATTTAATTATCCCATCCTTGTTGTATGGTACTTTATTCTGTGTTTGTATCTGTGTAGCATAGGTTTAAGTGGATAGAGAAAACATGAAGGAGATGTCTGATTGTTACTTTATATGTTCTCTTAGGGCATAATAAGAGGAAAGCTGGATCAGTTGCGAAAATGCTTGGAGGTTTGTGTCTTTTTACTGCTACCTTTGCTTCAATTTTTTTATTTTGTTGTGTTGTTTCTTCTTGTTTCGCTTGCCTCTATCAACTCTTCGGTTTTTGTGTATTTCCTTTAAGAAGTATTGAATCTATTATTTCTTGTGAAATGCAGGTACAGTTTGCTGCTGGGAGAGATCCGAGACCTGGACAACTTGGGAGTATGATTCAAACACTGTCAAACTGGTAACATCTCTGAATTTGATGCAGTTTCTCTGTTTGGTTGTACGTTCAGTATGCAGATTTACAACTTCTTGTCCAGAAAGTGGTTCCTAAGCATGTGCATTATGATCTGAAAACATTCATGTCTGACCTTGATTGCATAAATGTTTCCTGACTCTTCGTTGTGTACAATCTCGTGCTATGGAGCATCTCTTACCAATTTGATAACATTGTTTCATGTGATATTGAGTATATAAACCACTACCAAATTAAAAAAAGCGGTTCCATGTTTATCGTAGTTATGCATTCTCATGTTTAATCCAGTATGCTTTCTGATATGTTGCTGCTAAGTTAATGATATTTCAAGTTTCTTTTTGAGATATAAATCTGATGGTATTTGCATAATATTTTTTTTTTTTGTGAAAAACCTAGGTTGGATACCTCAAACAATCTTCTTATCTCAATTCAAGAAAAGATTAAGTGGGCTGATGCTATGACTGAAGTGGCCAAGGAACACAAAAAAGAAGTTGAAAATAGGGTGGAAGAAGTAAAGAAGTCGATTTCCATGAAGGTCAGTTTGATCCAGTTTTGTTTTTTGTATTGCTTCTACAAGTATCTCTTTCCTAATAAAATTGACAAGTTCCATTTTTTTGATTTGGACACTATGGCATGGCATGGTAAAAGAAGATTTTTTATTTTGTTTTAGTTGATGTATTTATCTGCGCCTAACGTGCACAACGCCTTTTTGATGAGCTGTTCTGAAGCTATAGATAATCATAGATAAAGAGTGCTTTATTCCCACCCCACACACAAACACCCTAATTTTTAATTAGTCTTTTTCTTGTTGTTATTTGGATATGTTGGTCGATGTGTCTTACTTACGTTGTGGCAGAAGTTCCCCACTGTAAGCAGGCCAACGTTGACCTCCGGGGGCACGAGGAGACCTACTCCGAACCTGGTGGAGTGATGGACTATGAGGAAGACCAAAGTCGACCAAAGAGGTAATGCAATCACCTTATTTTCTTCATTATGGTTTTTATTTACAAATCAAATTCTCTCTCCTCTTTTACTGCCAAAACTATTATCTGCAGTATTTGCATCTTTGGTTTGGGTTATCAATATGATTTGCCTTCATTCCACTGTTTGATGTGGAATTGCAGGAGACGGCATCCATATATAGATAAGAGTTGAGAGGTGGAAATAACCGGTGTTTCCGCAAATTTAAGTAGCCTCGATTTTTGTTCGTGTCTTTCCCAGATCTGTTGATATCTCCTTTTTGGAGACCACGATCTCCGTCTCTGATATTAAACTCTTTTATTTGTTGGTTTAGGCTTATAGTTAATATATAATTTAGCTCGTCTTAAATCCATTGTTATTCCAATTGAGTTGACACAAACAGGAATGAATTATGAAACCACATTGGTTGGTGCGGCTAGCATGCTTTACGGATTGATATTGAGATTGCTATAACTCTACTCTTCTTTATTTGATGGTCTACCTGGTGTTATGCTTGCTCTATCGAACTTGAATAACGCAGGTTGATGAACATTATGTGCGGATTGTTAAAAACATTGCTCATTTGTTTTGAGGAAATAATTTTCGCACATGCATTTTCCATTCTAAGGCCATTTCCGGTGCGAAATTTATGTTGGTTCCGATTTTTCAGTACCTTGGGGTGCAAGTTTGTATATGTTTTGTGTATATGAGAAGGGTGGATAGATATGGATTCATATGAAAATTGTTCGTCATTTTGTAATAGGTTCACAGACCATTTAACAGAATTAGAAACTAAACACAACAACAAAGCTTTATCCCATTAAGTGGGGTTGGTTATATAAATTTTAGAACGTCACTGCACTGGATTTTGTGTCATGTCTTCTGTTAGATTCAAGTAGTCTAAGTCTTTCCTTAGTCTCTGAGTCTTTCGAGGTCTTCTTCTACCTCTTTGACTTCGATTTTGTCTCGTAATCATATTTTTTTAATCGGAGCATTTGTCGGAGAATTAGAAGCTAAATAACTTGAAAAAAAATTAGAACTTTCGTAACAAAAAACATTCATGAAGTTGTGTAATCAAATGTAAATTGCAAACAATATATTTAGGTTTTGCACTAAACTTGTTCCTCGTAATGATGTGGGTAAATCTAGAGGTTTCCTTCTTCAATTGTAAGAGAGGTTTTAGGCTCGATTCTCGTCAAAGGAAACTTGGAACCACATTATTATAGCTAGCCTATTGGGATGCTTAACCCACTCCCTCTCCCTTCCTGTAAATATTGTTTGTTTGGAGAAAAAAAGAAGGAGGGGGTGAGGTTAATCTCATAATGAGCTAGTAATAATGTAGTTCAAATTTGTCTTTGACGAGAATTGAACCGAAGACTTCTAATTTACAAGTGAAGAGGAATACTACTAGACCGTAGTATTACCTAGCATATATTTACCGTTTAAGATTACTTTTGTTAATTTTGGTGTGTGACACTTTTTCCTTAGATTGGTTTAAAAGCTCCGACAGCTACAAGATTTTTTTACGAAGGCTCACTAGCTAATTTTGGTCTGCCACGCTTTCTCAAAAATTTTAATACAAATAAAAGGATTGGTTTGTTTTGCTTAAACTTCTGAGGAAATTGGAGTATCTTTGGACCTTGGCCACTTTAGAGTTATGGTTACTAAACTAAAAATTCTGAAATATTGGTTTCTAAATTTGTCATAATTTGAAGCAATATCTTTTTGGGTAAGTATTCCTTAGAAACCAAATCGTTTTAAAGGGGAAAATAAGGGACAAAAAGGAGAGGGAGAGGGAGAGGGAGAGAGAGAGAGAGAGAGAGAGAGAGAGAGAGAGAGAGAGAGTTCCAAGTGTGGGAGGCAGAGTGAAGTGTAAGAATATTTCAATATTTTGACGTGGCCCATATGAAATGGCTCATGTGTGATATATTCTGTTTAATAGATATTTGGCAAATTGTGAGAATTGATTTTATATTTTAACCTCGATGAGTGGTGATTAATTATGAATTTTATTAGCAAATGGATTCTCTCTCTGCTTATAATAGTACACATATTCATCTAGTGCCCATTAATGAAAAACATGTATTAGAGTTTTAACGGGCAAGGCTAAAGAGAGAAACCAATTGTCAAAGGATCACTCAAGAGAGAGATTTATGTGATATTTGACAGCTAATTATCAAGGTATGTAATTCATGTATTTCGTAATAATCGATTGTGAAAAACATGGAGTTCAACATCCTGGCTATATATACAGGCCTTTTATGCAAAGAGATTCCCAATTTTTTCAAAAAAATGGGGATTAGGTGTGGGTGTAATATTCCACATCGCCCAGGGGAGTGATCCTTAAATGTATATTCTCATCCCTACCTAGCATGAGGCCTTTTGGGATCTCACTGGCTTCGGGTTCCATGGGAACTCTGAAGTTAAGCGAGTAGCGTGCGAGAGCATTCTCAGGATGGGTGACCCATCGGGAAGTTCTCGTATGAGTTCCCAAAAACAAAACAGAGGGTGCGGTCAGGGCCCAAAGTGGACAATATCGTGTTACGGTGGTGGAGCGGGCCCGGGAAGTGGTCCCCCCGGGCCGGGATGTGACAAATTGGTATCGAGCCTAATCCTGGCCGCGTGTGTACCGACGAGGACGTCAGGCCCCTAAAGAGGGTGGATTGTAACATCCCACATCACCCAGGGGAGTGATCCTTAAATGTATATTCCCATCCCTACCTAGCATGAGGCCTTTTGGGATCTCATTGGCTTCGGGTTTCATGGGAACTCTGAAGTTAAGCGAGTAGCGTGCGAGAGCATTCCTAGGATGGGTGACCCATCGGGAAGTTCTCATGTGAGTTCCCAAAAACAAAACAGAGGGCGTGGTCGGGGCTCAAAGCGGACAATATCGTGCTACGGTGGTGGAGCGGGCTCGGGAAATGGTCCCCCCTAGATCGGGATGTGACAAATTGGTATCAGAGCCTAATCCTGGCCGCGTGTGTACCAACGAGGACGTCAGGCCCCTAAAGGGGATGGATTGTAACATCCCACATCGCCCAGGGTAGTGATCCTTAAATGTATATTCCCATCCCTACCTAGCATGAGGCCTTTTGGGAGCTCACTGGCTTCGGATTCCATGGAACTCCGAAGTTAAGCGAGTAGTGCGCGAGAGCATTCCCATGATGGGTGACCCATCTGGAAGTTCTCGTGTGAGTTCCTAAAAACTAAACTGTGAGGGCGTGGTCGGGGTCCAAAGCGGACAATATTGTGTTACGGTGGTGGAGCGGGCCCAGGAAGTGGTCCCCCTGGGGCTGGGATGTGACAGTGGGGCTCACTCCACATTGTACTTCATCGATCCAACCTGTCTATTTTGTCAATCTCAATTCATAAATCATTCTTGCAAAAATTTAATTCAATCTAAAACAATTTGCCAATTTAATTGTCAAGATAAAATTTTATTGTTTATTATATAACAAAGTATTCGTTAATTTTTTTGAACTCAATTAGATATCTTAAATATTTCCGATTTGACTAATATTTTGCAAGAATAATCTATGAGGTGACTAATATTTTGCAAGAATAATCTATGAGATGCAACTTGAAAAATAAACGGTTCGGATCGTTAAAGTTCGATGTGATGTGACCTTACAACTAATTCTCATTTTTATAAAAAAATAGAAATCCTTTCGCTTAAAGGCTTTAGACACACACAGAGACACACAAACACACAAACACACATATAGACGTTCAGTTTCCACACTGTTGAATGCCAGCATATTTCTACAAGTTGAGTTTTCGATGTGTTACAATACGAAACTGAAACGAACAACTGCAACTCTAATTTGAAAATCATACGAATAACAATACGCCCAGTTAAATGAGTTGCATCGTACTGTAGTGACTATATCAATCCACGCATTTCACGCTCACATTTGTTCGAGAGGGAGTGAATCCCCAGGCAACCATCAATATACCTGAATTCCGCGCCTATTATTCCATGTGGGAAATAACCTCCACTGCATAGACAATATATATATATATATATATATTTTTTTTTTTTTCTTTAACAAACACTGATTAGAGAATATTAATCTTTATATATCGTTGAAATTAAGAGATGTAGACATGAAACATATCTCAAAAGTCATGCATGCTTTCATATCTGAAAAGAACGCCAATACATGGAATAACATGCCGGCACATATAAACAGATCATGCTTATACAAATACTGCTCATCCCTTTTCGTCAAATGATGCAGAAACAGTGGCCCAGATACCTTCATTTTCCTTTTTTATTTAAAAAAAAAAGAAAAAAAAAGAAATAAATCGGTTGCACGTACATCGCTGCCGAAACATACCCACGCATGAACTAATACCACGAAGGCTGAGGCCTTGCATTAACTGTATGCAACTCTTCTTAACAGAAAGGGGTAGGCTACACATCAATTACAACCTTATGTTGGAGCAAAACCAGAAAATGTGAATTTTAATATAAATTTCAATGATGATACGACCTACAACCATATAAACTACAACAAAAAGTGTGTCTACGAACAATATAAACAGTGGAGGAAGTAAGAAACATTGACAAACTTGCCGAAAACAGTGGAGAAAACATTGACAAATTTGCCAATTACGGTTTGCATGAATACACTGTCTAAAGACATAATTCAGCCCATGCCCTTCTGCCTTACAGTTCGTTGACGTCTGCCTTTCATGATTCAACAACCAATAATTTGAAGGCGAAGCACCACAATCTTCTGTCTCTAGCAAACCATTTATATATTTGTACTCTTAAAGACAACTTGGAAAGACTTAGAGAATGACATATACATCGGATTTTTGTTGACCCTAGAAATTACAAAGCCTATGTAGCATGTAGGCTGAGTAATCTACTAAGCAAACTATGTCCTTCATGTGGATGCATGCTTGCCAAATTGCAACCAAGCTCGGTCGAGCGAGTGAAATGGATGTGATGGTGTGGTGTCGAACGCGCTGCTAACTTCTACACTTGAGTGCCTATGGTCGAGGAAGGAACAATCTCGGCTTGGGTCTTAGAACCTAAAGACAAGGTTAGTTAATTCATTGTGAAGTTCAAGATCTTCTGCACCAGGTTCGGCAGCTTCAACTATATTCGTGAGAATATAAGTGCTTCGAATAGGTATTAGGCTATAGGGGCAAAGGTACTCAAAGGATATGAGCATTTATGGTGAACGTCATTCGGTTGTATGAATGCCGAACTCTGAGGTGCACCTAAGAGTAACCAATCATAGAACACTTCACCTTGTTGGGAAGCTAATGAAGTAACCATTTTTTTTTTTTTTTGTTTTTTTTTAGCGAAAGAATCGTAAACTCTTTGCTTGTTGAGACTTGGATAGATAATTGTGGTAGTAAATTTTCGTCATCTTCGGTCTTGAAGAAGTTGTACCCACAAAACAAAATAACATCTTTGATCAAAGACCAAAGCTATGCGGATCCATGAGGTTGGGGAGGGGGGAGTGTTGGCC